GGGGGAAGAAAAATGATCATTTAGTTTGTTTAGTAGATAGAAAAGGATGCTCAGGACAGGCTTCGTTGGAGTAATGCTGTCGATGGCCTGTGCTCTACTGGGAGGGAAAAAGGGCAAGAGAGAGAGAGTTTGTTTAGTTGGAATAAAGTGAAAAATACATGAACCACCACAATGACAGTAGAGTTATTTAGTGTTGGGGGGGGGAAGTAAGACTAACAGACGGCACTTATATGACCTTATTGTGTTGCAAGTGCCGTAAAACTTTTACTAAAACTATCAAAAAAAGAGTAACAGAAAGAACTTTCGTTTTCTTTAAGAGTTTTACGGCACTTGCAACGCAATAAGGTCATATAAGTGTCGAAGAATAAATGTTTTACAAGAGAAAAACATACACAAAAAAGACGTAGGAGAGATGAGGACCATAGATGTTTGATAGGAAAGAAGGAGCAAACCTCACCACAGCACCCTCCAACCATCCACACAGAGAGAAACAACCAAGAGGAAAGAAAAGAAGTCATCACTGAAGTATGACCTACCAATCACACCCTCCAACCACCCGCTGTCATTCAGTGTAATGAAAAAGTAAGACGGTTGGACAGAAACAAAGGAGAGACAGAACAGAAGTAGTAGGACTTTTCACAACTTCACCTCGTCATATCGCGACCCCACTGCTTTCTTGCTGTATTTCCATTCTTAATAACTGAAAACAGTTCATAACAAAGAGTGAGCTTAAGATGTCACATTTTCACTCTTTAAAAAAATGGAGATACGACAAGAAAGCACTGAAATCGCGATATACTTACTTTTCTTTTCTTATTGAATTTTCATGAGAGTAATATTTTTAATATGAGAATTTAAAATTGTATGTACACCTGCATGTGTCTTTACGGTCCTGTACAGCCAAGAAAAATTTTCCTCTGGGATGATAAAGTATTATCTTATCTTACTTTATCTTGTTTTATCTTATACTCATGTGCATAACCACAACAAAACACGAGAGGTAGGAAAGGTCAGCTATACGTACCACTCCGTAGTAGTTGCTGTTGACCATGATGGGGGAGCGACCTCTCAGGTAGACGTACTGCTCCCACCAGTCAGACACCTGGGGAGGGGGCAAAAACGGGACAAAATTGAACGTCTGAAACATTTTCTACAGCACATCCCATCTTAAAGGTACATTACATCAATCCTGACCACAAGCGTAAGGGAGAGAAAACTTGTAGCACGGTTTAGGGGTTTTGTGTTTTTCTTTAAAGTGAAGCACATAGGCACAATAACTGGAAAGAGTAAAACAAGAAACACAGAAACAACAGTGGGACAGTTTTTTTTGTTTTGTTTGTTGGGGC